CTGTGTAGCCCTGGCCGACCTTGGATTTGCCATTATTATCCTGCCTTAGCTTCTCTAGAGCCCAAATATACCCATTTTGTTTTTTTTTTTAAATTTGTACTCTTTAAAAAATAAGTAAGAGAGAGCCAGGGAGATAGCTCAGTAGAATAAATCCTTGCCTGGCAAGTGCAAGGGCCTGAGTTCAATCCCCGGTTCTGAAAAAAAAAAGTAAAAAATAAGTAAGAAGAAAAATCAATTGTTGGGAATTGGAAGAGCTATGCTGACCATTAAATGGTCAGTAATCAATAATTTTCTACTCTCGTACCTCTATTCTCATGTCATGATGATGAATTTATGATGGGCTGATGTTCAAAACAGAAGAGTCATACTCAGTTCACCCATTTCATATGGAGACAACAGCATTTGTCTGTTTATTAAGCCACAAATCCTTGGGTAAGGATTGTTAGAATTCCCCTTGCTACGCAGAGGCAATGGAATATAACAGGTGCCTCCTACTAAAAAAAATCAGCTCAGGTCCTTCCCCCAGGTATCTTGAAAGTTGCATCCTATAGGTTAAAGCTGTTATATAATAGCACTTCTCAGACTTGCCCTGAAGATGCCAGAGAGCAGAAAGTGTTCTTTTGAGATCTAACTCACCTGTTACTGTTTTAATTCCCCTTCACAGTGGAGAAGGAGAACAGTTAATACTTTGTGGTAAAATTCTTTATGTCTTTCTTTCTAAAGAAATAGATTTATTTTTATTTGATTCTTTTGCGGTATCAGGGATTGAACTCAGGACCCCATGCTTGCCAGGCAGGCACTTATTCTACTGAGCTATCTCCCCAGGCCCTAAGGAAATAGATTTATGTGAGACTAAAGAAGGCAAATGTTGGTGCTAGGGGCTCAAAGTTCTCAGAAACTTGTTCGGAGGAACTTGGCAAAGGAGAGGGAAGGGAACTGAAATGAAATGTTTCCCACTTTTCTTAAGGAAAAGCAGTGTCTTTTCTCACAGGCCACAAGGAAGTAGACAGTTGGAGACCTAAGTTCGAGTCCTCAATTTTCCACTAGATATTTATGTCACTCTGAAAAAAACTTATCATTTCTTTCCAGACTTCAATTTCTGTTTCTACAAAGTAAGAAGTTAATTTATACTTTCCAATATTGTTGATAGCTCTGAAATTCTAATACATTTCTCTTTTATTCTAAATAATTTTAAGTGAGATTTGGTAGCAATTTATTACCATTAAACTAAGGTAATACATGGTTTTCAAGTATTGAAAATTTCTAGGGTGTTCATGTCTGTAAAAGTTTTTTAAAGTTCTGGACCAAATATATTTTTATCAAGTCTGTACTTGA